GACGGTCACCTATCAACCTAGAGTAGTGCCTGAAGATTACTTCGTGCGGCTATAAACGACCGTTAAATGAAATGATGAATTTTTTAAGGATTTTGAAAACGGACAAAATGATAGTCATGCCGGCCCAGCATCATCAACATTGAAAAATGCCCCGGCACGAAGTGGTTAATGCACAGGCCAGATTAATCTGCAGATCAAAGCCCCCAAAACAAGCACTTTTCTCACGCCCTCAAGTGGTCGGCAAATTGTCCTATCAAAAATGAAACACTGGATTCTTTGAATAAACGATTTATTGTGCAGTAAAGATACGGCATTCATGCCATGGTGACGTGCATGCACGACACATTCATGTCACATGCACATCAGTCAAAACCGTACTCACACCATCAGTGCACTACACGAACACTTGGTAAACAGAGCCTGAAATTATGGTGAGATATTGGGCACTTTCTAACCACTTACTGCATTTGTCCAACCAACCGTGGAAGTGTTTGGACAAAATGTCCAAACTCTGTACAAACTTGAAATTATCTGTCGTTTTGTAAATGTTATGAGCACATGTCTGTTGATTGTCGCTTCACTGATACCACCGTGAATCTATGGGCACAGAATAGATTCAGTGCAAAGCATTTCAACAGCAGATGATAAGCAAGCAAGGACAGCCAGTAACACAACAATGTAACAAGGTGGCACTGGAAGCTCTTTACAAAGATATGTAGGCTTCAAGCCATGTCACTACTTACCGATGACTCTGCACACGTGTCAACAGTTTCCGTCCAAAAAAAGCTAATTTCGGATGTCTTGTTCAATTACTGAAGTACCACATGAATTGAATAGGGACGATGATTGCCCTTTTATGCCTAAATCATCTATACACCATGGCATTTGCACATAGGTCCCATGTGTTCCAATCTCAGAATAAAATATGAGATCAGAGGACAATTACGTCAATTGAAAGCTGTCTCGTAACTTTCAATATTGTCATGAGCTTATATGAAGTGGAAGGGCATATTTATAGGATTATTGATGCACATATTGTATGTCACAAGACTCATCATGCTCAAAGCATGTGTGATAAGATAATGGCAAGTTGCCAAGATGTTGTGCTCTGCATGCAATAAGCTAATCATTGATTTTCTTGTCCATGAGGCACGATTCCTTGAAATACGTGATTGGGAATATTACACGTACTAAACTCAGTTGTCCTTCAATTTCATTTCTTACTGCAAAATCTCTATATCATGACCCGTATGTTTTCTATTTTTTTATTTCTATATATATATGATCTGGCATCATTCGCACTGGCAGTTAGTGCTTGGTGATAGTTCCATTTACATGGCAAGAAGCCATTGAAAAAACAGGACATGCAATCCTTCTATAGCACCTTTTCATGTGACCTGGTATTGCTGATCTAAAGTTAATAATGGCTGCACAAAATTGGCTATGTACAGACATTTTGTCCGACCACTTTTTTTCTTTTAATTTCACACTTAGAGTAACTACCCTAACATATGAGCAAAAAATTAGTGTGATGGGAAAAACCCGAGGTCAAGAAATTGCAGATTTTGTTACAGAAAACAGACTTCACCACAGAGCTCAGAGCACCCATGTTGCACAGTGCTGCTCAGTTAGAACCATACCGTTATTAGGGATGATGGTGAGATCGTGATATTTTTACAATAATAATACTCCTTTTTCATACAAAAATTATTCCAAACCAATCTAATTTCTCTTATCGATTGCAGTTGCCTATTTAGTTCCTTGATAATATGTGTGGATGTACCGAAGGTGATCTGGCCGATTTAATTGTTACCCACTAGTCGAAGCTCCAGAATGTAAAAAATGAGTTTACCCTACGCGGTGTGCTCCCTGAAACATTTGTATGCAAAAAATACTGCTGTTTAAGAAAATAGGTGGTGTATGCTACAAACTCCTGGCAATAATGCACGTTTTCAAAAAATCCAACATGGCTGCCAATTTTCTCGCTAAAATTCTGAAATGTATTATGTATTTCACCATAACTTTCTAAATAATCCTAAATTTGTTAACGTATGTTTAGTGAAAAGTAGACCTAATTCCTTGCAGTATGTGGGGAAAATCAAATCAGTATATTTGGTATTGTGAACAAAACTAAGATGGCTGCCATGTTCTGAAAAAACTAGTGCATATCGTATCTTTCGTAATATATTTAGTGATGATTTCCTGATTTACTAGGAATTAAGCTGAGTGTTAGAGTAGCCTTCTATCGACACAACAATTTTCAATTTGGTCATATTTTGGCAACACAGCGTGCAATTCAACATAGCCACTATTTTTCACCAAAATCTCATGAAAACAAAGAACATGAAGACAGACACATAAGTTGAGTTTTTGGACAACAGTGCTTTTTTATTGGCTAGCAACACTGACCCGGACACTGACCAATTCATTAAATGATAACAATTAAGAAATTATACTTCTTGAAAATTCTTTAACATGTCAAAGTAAAAATGGCATACTTGCTAATAATAACCAAGACATTGTACCCTTGGCAAAGTACTTGAGCTCATGTGCAAAACAGTCATGGCGCTTGCCCTGGACACCCGACACGTTTGTCATAAGTGAACAGTAATAAATGTCACTTTACAACTTGCCCTGCCACTATGGATGCAAGATGGTTACTGACTGAATTAGATTTGTTCCCTTGTGATGCATTTTACTGAATATAATGGTGTAACCTTAATTGAAAACTTTACATTAATTGGTATGTTGTATGGGCCCACCGATGTACTTGCTGTAGGGTTAGCCTATCCACTGCTGAACTTGTGGTAGGAATAGTTGTTTGGCCACTGCTGAATTTGCAGCAGGTAAAACTCAACAATGGTAAACTTTAACTATTAATAATCAAATGGCTTAAATTTAAATTTTTAGTTCACGCTGCGAGTTGGTTTCCTTACCATTTTTACTGCCCAAGGCCAAAAGACTTAGAAAATGGCAGTGGCGGAGAGATGGAGGAAATTGTTTCGATGCAACCACTAGCACCGGCTGTCCAAAAAAAGAGCCTTGCCGCCTTTCCCACTGGGAAAGAGACGTGAAAGGAACGCTGAATTCTGTAATTTCATTGGCCTAAAGTTTGTTACATCCAATTTGCGTACGGAAGACCTTTTGTATTGAAGCAACTCATGAACACATTTATGTCACAGATCAGTCGCGTGATCAGTCACGGCCATGCCCATGACAGCAAAACATGGACAATCCCAAGGGCGCCCTCGTTCGTTCGCAGAGAGTAATGCATTTTATCGTTTGTGTGACAAAAGAATTACTCCCAGAGAAACAAAGTAGACAGACACACAAGTTGTGTTTTCGACAACGATGTTACTTTAATTGGTCAATCTATTTCAAATTTACCCCACAATTTGTCTGACATGAAGCAATCATAGGTGTAAGATTCAGCATCTATGGTATTTCTGACAGAGGACAAAGTTCCTAAAGACCTTTACAGCCCATTCCCACTTGATCCACCAATTGGGGGATCTGATCCACCTTTTGCCAAATTGCCGGATCAGATCCCCCAATT